TAGAAATCTCTGGAGGGGGGGGGGATCCACTCACTCAGGCACCCTCTCTAGTCACCAGAATGGAGGTGCACAGACAGCGAGAGACCAGTGAACAGATACAAAAAAAGAAAAAGTGTCCACACCTTTATCTTCACAGTTCTGTCAGCTCTCTGTGGCTGTTCTGATCCTTTCCCGGTTCGGTCTCACCCAAGATGGCCGCTCAGGGAGCAGCTGAGCACCTTGGATTAGAAAGCACTGGATTTCTTTCTTCTGCTACAAATTCTAGTGGCTATAAGCCTTCCAACTTTCTAAATATTCCTTTATATGTGGTTCAGAGTTTCAGAGTTCTGGCACCATCCCCTGAGCCTGCTTGGTCCGGTATTCTGTGTTCTTGCTGACAGAGCTCCTCACTGCACTTCTACCCTCTCTGCCATCTTGTTTGCTAAAAAAAATTTTTATAAAGGAAACAAGTGTAAATTGCTATAATTTGATGGGCTTGACCTATACTTAAGGATCTAGTAGCTCAAAATACCAACTGAGAGGAAAGGAATCTTTACATCAAGGGTCAGTCTTATCCCCTCTGTACACAGGTTGACAAGGATGGACAAGTTAGACATTGGCTACCTAAAATGGGGAGCTGGTAAGGCAAGAAGGAGTTTAGTTTCAGAGTGTGCGGAGGAAGGTAGAGCTTGGGGTGGGGGAGTGGTTAATCGTACAGCCCAGGAACAAAGGCCCCTAGGACCATCAAGGGAGAAGAGCATGAGCGGAGTGCGACACTAGAGATGGAGGCAGAGGTAGGGACACAGAGAGAGGGAGCAGCTGAGGATGCTACACTCATGGAAAGAGAAAGGCTGTGTGCTGGCGGCCAGGAGGCAGGCTTGTAGAATGTGCCCTTTGGTTGTTTTAAGTGATTATATATTCTTGAGTGTTTTTTTTTGTACATTTAAAAACAAACAAAAAAAGAAGGGCTATAAGGGAAAAAAAAAAAAGCACTATGCATGTGAAAGTTAAGTCAATAAATAAAGAAGCCCTTAGATTGGATGCATTTGAGTTATGGTGTTGGAGAAGAATATTAAAGTACTATCATCCTGGTGTGGCGCTGTGGATTAATGCTCTAGACTGCACAGTCGGTTTGAACTGCAAGGTTGGTGGTTCAAGCTCACCAGTTGCTCCTTGGAAACCCTCTAGAGGGTCGCTATGGATCAGAACCGACTCGACGGCACTTAACAACAACATGGACTTCTAGAAAAACAAATTTTGTTGTAAAAAGTACAGCCAGACGTTTCTTAGACGCCAGGACAGCAAGACTCTGTTTCTCATACTTCAGACCTATTATCAGGAGGAACCAGTCCCTGGAGAAAGATATCATGCATGTTAAAGTGGGAGGTCAGGTAAAAAAAGGAAGACTGCCCCCAACCCACTAATCCCAACCCCCCCCCCAAAAAAAGAAAAACACAGAGAATGGAAGCAAATACTGTTGAATAATGATGCACGGAGACTGCAATCATTGCAATGAAACGATGGTGTAAAGCCAATGTTCTCCCACATAAACTATCATTCAGTTCACAATAAACAACAAAAAAATGAGGAATACCCCCAACAAGATGAATTGGCACATTGGCACCAGCAACTATGGGTTCAAGCTTGGCAACGATTGTGAGGATGGCACAGGACTGAACACTGTTTTTTTTAGTTCTGTTGTACATAGGATGCCTTAGTTCACTCAACAGCACATAATACCTACAACAAATCTATTATTAAATTTATTTTTAATAATGGCTTATGTGAGCTCCATGCCACGTGCTATAAAATAAGCTTACCTCTTTTATTTTTGTACTTTACTAGAACTGAAATGAAATGAAGAACGTGGCCAATCACCTAGAAAAGGCCACTCAAGGCTGATTTCAGTCTGTCCACAATCTGATTTTGCTGTAGTGGACCTGTCTCAACGACCGTTTGACCTTAATGTTATGCTCTTCCAATTCTTTTTTCTTCAAATTCCACTCCCACACTTTATGGCCTTCAATTGTCAATGTAGAAACGTGTGTTGAAACTCTTTGGTTTAGGTCAAAATCATTTTGGACATTTGTTAAAGGTTATCTAGAAAAGCATTTTTAATGGTTCACGTTGAGAAGGTGGACAAGTTGTTATATAGTGGAGACAGTTTTGTTTATGTGGCTAGACCTTGTAGATTTTGCCTCTTAACTTCTCCCCTGTCGCTCCCAAAGACGCCAAGATCGTTTCCGCCGTCCCATCCAACGCCAAAGCTCCGAGCTGACGCAGAAAGACAGGAAACGCCCGCCTCCGGGCCTCCCGGCTCCTTCAGCATCTCGGCTGCAACCCAACGGCAACGCCGCTTTCGTCCGGTGCATTGTGGGCACTGTAGTCCGGCTGGAACCTGTTCGTGACTTTTGTGACACCGCTTCTTCTCAACCCTTGACGCTGCAGTGCCTCTCCTCGGCTTGAAGTGGGCCTCCAGGGGCTGAGACGCGGCCGCGTTCCTCCGTGTCAGCGGTTCCTACCCTGGACCTAAGAGGCGGAAGCCGAGCGGTGCGGGGAGGAGCTTCGCGCGGGAGGTTAACGCCCGCCTTACGTGCTCGTTCGCCTCGCGACCGCTGCGCGCGAGCCCGGTGTCCCGGCGGCGGGCGACAGCGGCGGCGTCGGTGAGCGCGGAGGGGCGGAGGGGGCGGAGGGAGCCCGCGGCGGCGGCGGCGGCTGCAACAGCGAAATGGCGGAAACGGTGGCTGACACCCGACGGCTGATCACCAAGCCGCAGAACCTGAATGACGCCTACGGGCCGCCCAGCAACTTCCTCGAGATCGATGTCAGCAACCCCCAGACCGTGGGGGTCGGCAGGGGCCGTTTCACTACCTACGAAATCAGGGTCAAGGTGAGGCTGTCTTTCTCCTCTCCCGAAAGCCCCCTCTCGCAGACCCTGAGCTCCCTCAAACGACTCTGAAACAGATTCCCTGGCGGCCTGGCCGCCCAGGCCCGGAGCCCGCCGGCTTTCTGCGGGCCGGGGTCCTGGGGCAGGGCCTCTCAGAGTGGGTTTCCTGTGGGGGTTGCGTGGTGATCCCCGCGCTGGCAGTTGGAGAAGGGGTTGGAATCTTGAAGAGGGCGTGGGTTGGGCGCCGCTTGCCTGTAAAGCTAATGACATTTGGGTTGGAAAGGGGTAGATCTTTCGAGAAGCACCGCGCTTCATTGGGAAGGGTGTGTGAGCTGTGAGTGAGCAAGGCGATTTGTGCAAAGTTGAAGCCTTCCCAGTTTTCTTTTCCAGGAGACTTTTCCCAAGCCATGCCTGGCAGATTCACCAAACGAACCTAGGTAGTTTGTACCCTCTTGTGAACGAACTTCCCTGGGAGGGAGCGCACAAAAGCCTGGTGAATTGGGCAGGGCTGAGGCCAGCTAGAGCTGCCAGGCTGGACCTGAGCATTCTGGGCCACCAACGTTCTAGAGCAGAGGTGGGGACTGTCTACCTCACAATCCCAAACTACAACTGCTTTCAGGAAGCCTATTCATTTGAAGCTCCTGCTCTCTAATTTCAAGATTTGCACTTCACTGAATGAAGGAATCAGCTGAAGTAGAAACACACACTTAAAATTTCATAACTAGTATTTGTTGGCAATAAGTAATTCATATGATTTGAAAGATGCTAATTGAGAATAGTGCTTCACTTTCACCGTGGTTCAGAATTAAAGAACTTACCCGTTGTATGGCAGTATCTTTAAAAAATTAATTACATAAAACTAATCCAGCTGTGACGACAACAGCAACAAAGCACTTTATTAAACATTAAGTATAAGAAGATTTTGACGTTAGGGTAACAAAAATGAACTCAAGTTACTGTTCACACTTAAGTAGAGTAATTGCTCATTAATTTATGCAATTGTTTAAAAATAATGATTTCTGAGTTTGCCCTATTAAAAATATTTAAGAATTATACTAGTTTCAGAGAGGAAACTAATGGTTTAATGTTATAAGCCACCCATATTTCTCTGTGGATGGGTAAAATATGAGTGATCTGTAGTCTGGTTTTAGTGAAACTGCAAAATCCAGGCTTCAGTATTTCCCATGTGGTGGTAAGTGCCGATGTCGTGTTGGTTCCTACTCATAGTGACCCTGTCTGTATAGGATTTCCGAGGAGCGCCTGTGGGTTTTGAACCACCAACCTTGCACCTCAAACATACCTTGCGTCCAGCACATTATCCTGCAGCACCACACCAGGAAAAGGGAGACATTTTTTAGTTTTCTTTTTTTTAAACTTTTGGAATGATTTTGGATTGTTTAAAATATATAGCATATTGCTCAATACAAAGAATTTCCTCTTTTGTCCTCATTTCACCCATGTATTTTCCTTTTTGTCCTTGTGCTAAAACAGAATTTGGTATTCCTGTTTCTAAACTTCCATGGCTGGTACTTCCTGCCAAACAATTGAGTTGGAAACTCCTGCCTACACTTCCTCCAGTTAATAACTTTGTGTGTGTCTTGCTGAGGGCATTGTATGAAATTAGCTCTGGTGTTATAATTTAAAGGAGCCCTGGTGGCACGATGGTTAAGTGCTCAGCTGCTAATCATAAGGTCAAAAGGGGCAAAAAGCTGGTGATTTGTTCCTGTGAAGATTGTTATTATTGTTGTTAGGTGTCCTAGAGTTGGTTCCGACTCACAGTGATCCTGTGTAGGCTTTCTGAGAGTAGCTAGCTGGTGGGTTTCAGTCACCAAACCTGCAGTTAACAGTCCAGTGCTTATCCGATAGCACCACACCAGAAAACTTTGTGGGGCAGTTCTCCGTCACGTGGGGTCGCTGTGAATTGAAATGGACTCAGTGATACCTAACAACAACAACTTTATTATTTAACTTCAGTTTTATATACCTGATACCTTATTACCAAACTGCTAGTGTGACAATGAAAATTAAGTTGTCTATGGTATGATTAGGAATCTTGATGGCACACGGTTAAGTACTCTGGTGCAAACCAAAGATTCGCAGTTCTATCCCATCAGCTGCTCCACAGGAGAATGATTTGGCATTGGGATTCTGCAAAGATTGTTCAGATCACAGCCTTGAAAATACTAGAGGCAGTTCTAGTCTCTCCAATAAGGTAACTATGAGTTGGAATCAACAGCAAAGGATATAGTATTGTTGCTGCATTTGAAAAAAAAAATCCTTTAACAATAGTGATTAATGAATTAAGGAATTAATAAATTATACACCTACAGTGGTGTGGTACTGTTAGGATAAGCGCTGGGTTGTTAACCACAAGCTTGGCAGTTCAAACCCACCAGCTATTCTTGGAAACAAGGGTTGCTAAGAGTTGGAACCGACTCTGGTAGAGTAGTGGTTACGAATCAGGCTGTGAACCTCAGGGTCAGCAGTTCGAAACTACCAGCTGTTTCTCGGGAGAAAGATGAGGCTTTCTGCTCCCATAAAGATTTACAGCCTCGGAAACCCTGTACAGGGTCGCTATGAGTCAGAACCAACTCCATGACACATTACAACAACAACAACACTGGTTTGTACTTTTATATTATAGTTTGTTGTGTGTTAATTGACGTAGTCCTAACTGGGAAGGCCCACTCATAATGCTTATAAAATGCTACTGGGGCTTCTCTTAGTGTGTAACAAGTTAATTTCAAACTCAGGACACCTTATAGTAAGGCTTTATTTAAGCAGTGTATGATTTTAGAAAGTACAGTCTTATATCAAGGTAGAATGGGTAGATTGATAGGTTAATCATTTTGTAATTTTATTTAGTCCTGTTTTTCTAAATTCTCTGCTTTCCATAACCCCTTCTGCTTGCCCTTTACTATTGAATTTGTCTTGTGGAAAATTCTTTTATGTTCCAGAGTTTGGGCTCTTAAACTATCTTATAGTTACTCTTTAATGCTGGTCTTCAGAAAAATGTTCAATTTTACAAGATTTGATTGAAATTACTCTAATTCACAGAGTAATTTTATATGGACGGTGGCACTTTAGAATGCAAGTTTCCCAATCTCCATTTATCTTTCAGTTTGAGAATAGTGTTTAAGACTATTAGGAACACTTGATTAGTATCTCTGGGCTTTTGAAAATAATTGGCACAGTGGTAATGTTTTTTTAAAATTGTTCTAATGGGTAAGTACAGCACAGAGCACCATAAATGATTAAAGGTTTAGGAAAGCTTAGGGTCTAGAATTATTTTGGTATATTAAAGAGAAGGTTGAAGGGGTAATTCAGTCACTGTTTATGAAGTTTGTGCTGTAATGTAACTAATTTCCAGAAGATTTTAAAATTAAGATCTATTATTATACATAGAGACAATTGTTTCAAACATGAGTAAGTTAAGGATCTTTTTTGAGCTCTGAGATAGCTCTGGGTTCAGATAATAGATGTATCACTTACTAGTAAGGTAAGGAACAAAATCTCTCTAAATTCTGCTTCCCTCTATAAAGTAAGTATGCTAGGATTAATACCTATTTCTTAGGACTAAATGAGATAATTACATAAATATCTTTAGTACCGGGACTGGCATATAATAAGTAGTCGAAGGTTAGCTCTTTTTAAACATAGCTATTTTCTAAATTAAAAGTCAGTGATAACTTATGTTTTCAGTGTGTTAATATGCAGCCGAGTTGCTGAAATTGTTAGGCTTGTCCAGAAAAATACTTGGCATGAAAGTATACCATGCCAAGTGTGAAGCCATCTTGCTTGAGTACTTCATCAAATAACCTGTTACAGTTGAGACGTATTAAAGCATGGAGCTTAATAGTAAAGTTCACTTATAAAAAATTTTAGCAAGGAAAATGCTCAGTAAAAGTAGCATCTTGGTAGTGTTTGCTATTTCGAACCTTTATAGGTGGTTTTTCTCTGGGTCAGTCCTCTAGCCTTATGTTGGTAGTCATTAATATCTAAATTATAAACTGAGAAATAACTTAAGCTTTAGGCTTATTTTTAGAATTTACAAGCCTGTATTGCCAGAATAGTATTTTAAAGAATCAAGGCATTTTGATTGCCAAAGGTCAACTGCAGGATCTCTATGTAGCCTTAACCTGGTGGTCATGAAATTTTCTGACGTTCATATATGGAGACATGTTTTGAGCAGTAACAGTGAGTCAATTTTTACCTAGTTCAATCCTTTAAGATGGGTAAGGAGGTGGCAATGACAATTAAAAAGTAGCCTTGTTATTAAGGGACTCGATTCTGCCTTGCTTATTTTAACATTTGGGGAACCAAAGCACAAAAGGTTGTTTCACCCAAAGTTAGTTATCTACTTAGTGTTAGAACCAGGATTAGATTTTAAGTATTCTGGTCCTGGTCCAGAGTTTTAAATTAATTCAAATCCACAGCTATCATTCAATTAATTAAAAACAGTACAGGTAGTCCCCAAATTACAAACAAGAGCCATTCCTAAATTTGTCTTTAAGTTGAACTTGTAGGTAGTCAGAACAGGTACATAGAGCCTTATTTAGCGTCAGTCGGGTGTTTGTCTTAGTATGCAGTATATATTTTTGTCTTTCTATGCATGTAAAACACTAAGAAACACTTCTAAATACACCAAAACATCTTAAACATAAAAATACAGTTACATCATCATCATGATAGTAATATTGTTAAGTACTGTGGAGTCGGTTCCTACTCATAGTGACCCTGCACAAGGTTTCTGAGGCTGTAAATCTTTACGGGAGCAGAACGCTTCATCTTTTTCCCATGGAACCGCTGGTAGTTTCGAACTGCAGACCTTGAGGTTGGCAGCCCGACTCGCAACCACTATGCTACCAGAGACTGTTAATAATAGAGGATTCCTCTTGTGGCACTATAGGATAAACACTGGACTGCTGTCCACAGGGTTGAAAGTTCAAACCCTCCAGCAGTTCCTTGGAAACCCTAACAGGGTCGCTTTGAATCAGAACTCT